TTTGCGTATCAATACCACGAGTTTTCATTTTTATTTGGCGTACTATTTATACGCAGTTTCATGAGATCGGGTTGGAACTGCACGGCAATACACAAACAACTCAGAATACATCAGCAGCTGAATCTTGACACACTAACAACTCAGAATACCTCAGTAACTGCATAGAAACACTCTAGCAACTGCAGAACAACTAATTTACAACTCAGAACACTTTAAAAAACTGCATAGCAATACCCTAGAAACTGCACCACAACTCACTATCAATTGAAAACACCTCAGAAACTGCACAATCACACCCTAGCAACTGCAAAGTGACACAGTAACAACTCAGAACACCTCAGCAACAACCTAGTAACTGCACAGCAACACACTAACAACTCAGAAGTTCAGAACACCTCAGCAACTGCATAGCAACACACAAATTCTTAACACCTCAGCAACATTGCATTAAAAACCTAGCAACCGTATAGCAACACGGTAACACTTTACTTGAAGGGGTGTGCATAAGACTGACATGACACCTTCATAATCATGACATGACACATGTCATGAATATGAAGGAGGTTTTATGCATGTTTATGACAACTGTCATTAAGTGTCATTCGCTCAGTTATGTCATTTTTAATGCAAATATGACATTATTTGACCTAACCCTAACCTAACCCTACCCCTAGCCTTACCCCTAACCATAGCCCATAACAAAGACATCTCAAACAATGTCATCTTTGCATTAAAAATTACATAACTGAGCGAATGACACTTAATGACAGTTGTCATAAACATGCATAAAAAACCTTCATATTCATGACATGTGTCATGTCATGATTATGTAGGTGTCATGTCATGATTATGAAGGTGTCATTTCAGTCTTATGCACACCCCTTCAAGTAAAGTGTAACCATAATGTAATAATGTTACATAATAATGTTCCTTCCTTCCTTCTCTCTGTTTTCTGTTAAACATCTTATTACAAGCTTGACAGATACCATTATAAAATTACAGCAGCAATTCTATATCTTTCTACAGCCTTTCTATAGTATCTCATAAACAGGACTTGCTTTAAAGGGAGACACTTCTAAAAGAAGGTTTTAGTGTTCTGTCGGTGTGTTAAAACCCTCTCTCAGAAGTTCATCCTCTCAAAGCCTCATCAGAGCAGCACTTTTAAAACAAATCCACCATCTTTAACAATGCAACTTAACTTGACTTCTTGATCTACGTACATGTGTAGATGCGCATCTCTAATGCATAAGCCTTAACCTGAGATCCTCAAGCTCAGATTCTCAGATTTTCCCCTACCAGGGTTTCTGCAAGTTTTATGGGGGCAGATTTAAGACATGGTAAATAAACTTTTAAGACCAAGTAGAGAAAATGTAAGGAATGCATTGAATGGAACATAATAAGTTCTTTAAATGAAAGTGTCTTATTAGCAACAATTAAAAGTTTGAAAAAGTCTCCCTACCAATCTCCATTACTTAAAAAAAATGACTAATTCTTAAATCTAGATACATTTACTTGAGAAGCAAAATTACATAAGTCTTGTTTTCGGTGAATCTGATCAAAATTAAGCAAGTTTACGATTAAAAAGAACAAATATCTGCTGGTGGACTTACGAAAAACAAATTAATTCAAAGGGAAAACTAGTTTTCATACCCCATTGCCATTGACATTTGTTGTTGTTTTAAACAAACTCACTTAATTTTGTTTAGTTTATCAGAAAACAATATCTTCTTTTTGCACAAGTAAATGTGGTCACACTTTAGTTTATGGACCAGTTATCACTATTAACTAACTATTAACTATGATTTTTGCCTCAAAAAACTACTAATTTGTTGCTTATTAATAGATAGTAGGGTTAAGGGATCTTAAATATGGTCATGCAGAATATGGAATTAATATGTGTTTTATAAGTACTAATAAACAGCCAATATGGTAGTAGTATGCATACTAATAAGCAACTAGTTAATAGTGAGAATTGGTCCCTAAACTAAAGAGTTACCATGTTAAGCATCATTTAAGGATGTTTAGATATTTGTATTGGAAAACAAGACAATGCAATGCAATGCATGCAACATTTAATGCCATGACTTTACCAATTAAAGACTTTCTGCTTTGATTTAAGACCTTTTAAGGTCTTCATTTGTGGAAGGGCGGATTAAGACTTTTTAAGATCTGCAGAAACCCTGTATTTACATTGATCTTTACCTTATATTTGCAGTCTTCTCCTCCTGACAGTATGAGATCATTGACAGCACTCCAGTCCACCTTCAGAATGACTCCGTCATGAGCTTTCCACTGCAGACACAGATCAAACACACACTGTCACTGTTCAGGTGCAGGATATCATCAGTTCATGCACTGGCTGGGAATGGATCTGTGAGCTTGGTGTGCTGTTACAGTACTGCACTACTGTAACTGAGTTTGACCCGATCAGTACACTCACTGCAGCAGCCTATGGACATCTGTGAATATATCTGACGCGAGTATGCATTCAGACATTCAGCATCATCTGGCTCTGGCAGTGAGTTCTAGGACACTGTGTGTGTGTGTGTTTAACACTAAAGACCTGCAGTAACTGCATCAGTGCTGTTTCTGAAAGAAGCTCCTGGGCCCTCAATTATCAACAGTGTGTATGCACAGATGTGTGCGTAATGAGTGCATAAGAACAGTTTCATGCAAAGTGTGGGATCTACCAACTCTACAGAACCTTTTCTACGCACTCTTGATAAATGAGGGCCCTGGAGAGTTTGATTAAAGCACTGTGATATCCATGTCGCTTCAGTGGGTTGTATCATACTACAGCTCCCACGATGCCGCTTCTGGTAATGAGTGTAAAGCTCGCTGTAGTACAGTGAATACTGTATTAGCTACATATGACAGCACAGCCTGAACACACGTGTACTTGTGCTAATCTGTGTTCTGCTGTCTCTAGGAACACACACACACTGCTCTCTTCCCAGAGACGTGAATGCACGCTGCTGTGTGTTTCTGCTGAGTATATGTGACGCGTCTGTGACATTGCCCTCGGGTCTGAGCTCAGGAGGTCAAAGGTCATGTGGGGGAGGGGTCTTTGTGCTATAACAACAATAACAAAGGAACAGCTGCATATTCCCAGCCATCCCATCAAACTCACCTCGCACGAGTCATGTGACAGGACTACATCACCAGCAAACCCCCTAACGCTAGCATTTGGTTCCCATTTGGTTATTTCTAGAAACCAAATAATAACATTCTAGATTCCACCATAAAATAACGTTCCCAGAATGTTGCAGGAGGTCATTATTTTTTTGAGCTTAAGTTTAAAAACAACATACAGAACACAAAACATTCCATAATGGTTATTTTTACGTTTTAATTAACAACCAAAAACTAACATTTCCAGAATGGTGCGTATTTTGATGTCTTTGTGTGACAACCCTAATAAAACCTTGTTCTCCATTGATAATTTTTTTAGAACCATGTAAACTAACCTTCCAATTAAAACAATGCACATGTTTTTGTGTGATGATCTATACAGCGCACTTTATAATATTCGTTTAATTTTTCATAATCATAAATTACATTTTGTAGAATTTGACATGATTTAATAAAATGCAGAAATTACATCACAGTCAAATGATCAGACGAATCCAAATGTGTAGCTGAAAATAGTAAAGCAGGGTAAAGCATAGTGTTCATAATAAACAGGAACTATAAATACGTGGGTTTGTTTCGATCTGGATTTGTATTTTGTTTCTCTTGTCTTCCACAGAATGTCATTTAAAAAAAAAACTAATGTACATTTGGTTTTACAAGCTGACTGACTGTCTTTATTGAATACTTACTTACAGATATCAGAGTAAATATATATTCGTCAGAGATTTGAGAAGAACATTATGTTTACCAACAAGTTTTTGTTTACTGACCAAACAGAAAGAAACACGTCCCCAATAAACTCTAGTGGCTATTCAATAGTACAAAATGCTATCCCAGTGAACAGTAAATGTAATTAAAGAGTCTAGTAAATGTTGATGAATAATTGTCAGTCTATGAAGAAAAGTCGTAGTTTGTGAACAGAGTCTGGGTTGTGTGTGTAATGCTGTACCTGCAGGACTTTGGCGCTGGGCTGCAGCGGCTTGATCACCAGCTGTCGACCCGATGTGTACAGAACCCGTCCTGAGTCTGGAGCCCACGCCACGGAGTACACGGGAGTCCCTGCATTTAATCATTTGAATTAAAATTATAATTTACACTCAATACATTATTATTGCATACTGTTTTATAATATACTTCCAATACTGAGGTGCAGATAATTGCCACTATTTGCATTAAGTAGTATAAATAGCAGAAAATCCTGCTATTTTAACAGTGTAAATATAATCTATAGATATTTGCACCTAGTGTAAATAGAATATCGCTAAAAAAAAACAGCTATTTTCACTTAGTGCAAATAGCCGCTGCCTTATAGTAATGGAAAGGTGTGAATGAATGAATGAGGCATTTTTATAGTGCTTTATTGTGCATTGCTGTACACCCAAAGCGCTTTACGATCATATGGGGGGATCTCTCCTCAACCACCACCAAGCTGGATCAAGCTGCTTACTGATATCACTGCATGTAAATGGGATAAAATCCCACTGAAATGCCTTCAGAAGCATGGTATTATTTAGTAGGTTAATGTAATTTCCACTGAAACAGGAAGTCAGGGCGGGACATATCGATAGCCAATAGCGTTTCATTCATGTCACATCCCGGCGAAGCAGAACTTTATATCAGTGAGTTTGAAAAGCGCTGTCATCTCTTCTCCTCATCATTGATGTTCATAATGCTGAGGTTTAGGGTCTAAGCGTTTTAAAACAGCATTCAGTGCAGAATTCTGATGTGTTTTGAGTGCTTTGGAGGGTCATTCACCTCAACAGACAGCATGTTTAAACGGTCTGAGTCGCTCCCTATTCTCTATAGTGTGCACTATGTACCATTCACTATACAGAAAATACTAATTCTGTGAATAAATGACCGATTTCAGCTGCAGCTTCAGTGTGTATTTAGGCTTCAGATTCTAGAGAGCATTTGATTGGACAGAAAATCAGAGGAGAACCTGAAACGCAGAATGATGTCATCAAAATTGTTGATCCATACTACTGGAAGTGAGAAACTGTACATTTTTGATGCTTATATCTTCTATTTTGTCGGTTTTGGAGCACACTCGCTTATAGATAACCTAATGACTAACATATTCACATTAACACCTGAAAAACACCCATTTTGATTTCAGGGGGAGTTTAAGAGTACTCCACTAACACGGTGCACTTTCACATCTTAAGCAGCTTTCTTGCGCTGAGCGTTTTTCTGGTGTGCATGTGAAGAGAGAGCCGAGGGCTGTGACCTCTGACTCGCTGCAGGTGTGTGTGCTTCATCTCATGGGGTCATGTAATGACTTTCCTCTGCCGTCTCTTCTGTTCATGTCTTTCTCTGGCACACGCGGCCACAGTCTGCACATGTGTGTGTGCCGCTAACGGACAGAATGCCGTGTGTTGCATTAGAATGTGTCTCTCACATCTGACACTGGATTTTCACAGCCAATCAAATTGAGACACTAAAGTTTTCACTAAAGGAGGTTTCAACTACTTGGTCACTGGGGTCCAAAACAATGTTTGCTGCATAGTAACTAGGGATGGAACGATTACCGGTTTGACAATCAATCATGATAAAATTCCCCACGGTTAGTATTACCATTTCATATTTTAATTATCATTAAAACCGTATTCAATTATCATGATTTGAACAACTCAGGATAAATAAATGCTATCCAGCATAAAGCAGAGATTTAAGTAACAGCAGAGCACACAGAGTAGCCTAGTTTCATTTTGTGTGAAAACATGGCGGAAAGCTGTGAGGTTTTAAACGAGTGCTAAGAGTATTATACAAATGTGTGTGTGAGAGTGTGTGTGTGTGTGTGTGTGTGAGTGTGTGTGTAAGTGCGTGTGTGTGAGTTTGTGTG